TCAACCAGAGTGTATAAAATATTAGTATATATATAGTATTCTTAGATTAAAAGAATATTTAAATAGTTAAGTCTCCTAAACCTCTTAATTAAATAATAAGTATCTTGGTTTAGGTAGTCGTAAATAGCTACTAGATAGAATAGGCAAGAATATCGTAAGGCAAGAACTACTAACCCTATAATTTTATAGGCGATCGCCTGCTTATATATATTCTACAGGTTTTCCTATCTTATAATTAATATAGAGGTTATATCTTCTATTCTATAGAGATATAGAAGATAGAGACCTTTGGGGCAGCCTATGATGATCTTCGATTTACTACGTTAGTGTGGATGATTCGCTTAATTTGTATGATGGGTGACTTGAGTATATGTACTATCATATTTATGGGATGATTTTATAGAGAGGCTATTGGCTTGGGTCGCTAAAGCATCAAAATCAAAGTCTATATCGGCTTTTTCGAGCAGTTTAACAGAATAAGTATTTATTGGTATAATAAGTAGAAATCTTATATGTGAAATAGTTATAATTAGGTTGGTAGAGTTACCTTCTTACTGGTATATTTATATTCGAACGGAGGTAGTTCTGATTGGATTGTAGTTATTGGTCTTATTTATAATTTCTGGAAGGGTATATGTAATAGAAAATTGAGGTAGGCCGCAATATTTGACGGTAATAAGATTTCATCCTGATAACCTGCACGTCGCTAAGGGGGTGGTGATTGGAATATAAGTAATAAATAGTATATGCTTTGATTTTATAATTTGCGAGAAATTATAGAATTCTTACTATGTATAAGAATACTATTGAAAGTCAATTTATATATATATTAGAGTTCTTTTATTTCACTCCCCTCTAATATAGATTATTTTAGGATATAAAAATCTTCTATCTCTTTCTATATGAAACTCTGGTCTTATAGATTATAGATTATAATATTAATTTTGTAAAGTTATATCGACTATTTTTCAGTTTTGTCGAAAGAAAATTTTTTATCGGGTATATCTATTAGTCTTTTACTTAAGGTCTTTAGGTCTTAGTTAGTAAGAAAGTTTAGCAGTAGGAAAAGTAAGTCCTTAATAGTTAATTTAATAATCCTCTAAATTTATAATTACTATATACTACTTAAGAGTAAAGAAAGGTCTAGAAGCTAATAGTATCTACTAAAAACTAATAGATTTGACCGGTTTCCTGAAGGTGAATTCCGAGGTATATATCGGTGTCGTACATTTTACTATATTTAAATACTTTCTTTATCAAACTTGATCTTTAGCGAAATTATTTCTAGCGATATAATCTTCTATTGGAACTGGGATAAAGTAAATATAAAGAGGGATTACTAGTTATTTCTAGGGACTTAAATATTATTAATAGGCGATACAGTTATTTTTAATAAACTGTAGTCTTCAAAGTATAATAAGAAAAGAAGACGCAAAGCTGATTTTTGGGAAAAGTAGTAAACTAGAATCTCTAACTAAATATAAGTTTTAAATAGCTCTAGAAAATGTATTTTGTCGATAGTGAGTATACTAGTAAATACTTTTAATTATTGAAAGTGTCTGTATTAAAATAAGATGAATATTAATTTTTCAGTGCTTTGTTAATCGCTAGTAAGGTTAATGCTGTTTTCTAAGTTTATGACTGACCTGACTATATTTTAGTTAAAAAACCTACCTACGAATTTCTTAGACTCCTTGCTATAAGTCACTAAATTTATTGTTCTATGTAGGTAAGGTATAGATTTACTAATTTATTGGCGCCTTAGAAAATGGCTAGCTATCTCTATATAAACTATAAGATATGGTTATCTTTATATGACTGTATATAGTCTCTATCTGTTTCTAATTTTTAGAATTATGAACAGTAACCTGTCAAACTGCAATTTTGTTGAGATAAATGATATTTAATATAATATTTTTACTTAGTTATCGAAGTACTTTGTTGCGGTCTTAGTTGGTATATTATCTATCTCTATAAAGTATATACTATAACCGACATAACCGTTTTCAATATTACGTTTGGTTATGAGATTATAAGTTAATTAATGATAATCCCTTGAAATGGAAATTCGCTAGCTATCTCCGATATTAAGATATTATGTTTTTGCTCTATCTCTATAAAAAAAAATTCTTGTAGCTTTTGTTTATCTACAACTACTGTATTTTGTTTATATATATTCTAGTATAGAGGCCCGAGTAGGAAGATAGAGTTTTGCTTTGGATTTCTTGATGTGAAAGCTACTAAAAAAGGTGTCTAAGGCCTAAAGGCGTATAGGCGAATATTATAGTTGTTGATTAATCTAAATTTGGATAGTGGGACTGAGTGAAGGTGTGGTACTAAAATTAATACTTTGAGTATAAGTATGTAAGCTACTTAGAAATAGCAAGTAATTAAGGGTTATACTATCTTCTATAAGGAATAAGTGTTTTCAATAAATTTTTTGAGATTAAGCTATAATTTTACTAGTTGGTATAGATTAGTCTTCCTGAATAGTGCTTAATAGTCTGTCTAATAGTCGCTTATTGCTATAAATTAAGGATTGAAGTGTATAGAAGGTACCTCCAGGAATCATAATCTAATACTAATAGGATGTTCTATCTTTTTTATAGAGATCAATTATAGTACTTATTAGTTTATCGGTTAGAATCGATCCCCCGAAATTTGTTTGACAAGAGCTCTCTCTAGATAATGATTCTAATTATCCTTCTCTTCTAGTAATCAACATAGAATTGGGTTTTAAGCCTAGACTAGGTTTTAAATCCAATTCAATTGCTATAATACTGTATATATATCTTTATTTGTTAGGGATTGTATCTAAGTTAGGTGCTATTTTAACTTTTAAACTCCTGAAGTCGTGCCGGTATCAAAAGTGTGTATATTACCCCTTATTCTGGTAACTTAGATACTGATTTGATCTTTTAGATTAAGTATGATAAACTATATGCTATTAGGAACCTTGCAATGGGTCTCTATATTAGTTGTATAACCTCTACGGTTCTGCTTCTTGCAAAAAGGTACCTAGGAGTATATATATACCTTTAAAATGAGGCACAAAATGTAACTAGAGAGATTAAATAGGGTGATAAAGTTATTCTTGGTGTAACTATACGATTTGGAAATTAGTTTTCTATTTATTTAAGCGGATAGTATTACACTGATGGAGAGCTTTTCGGTATTCTTGATTAGGGAAGGTATTATTTATTTAGAACTAAGGCCTCCTTCGTTTAAGTTTATATACTAAGATCAATAAAAGATATAGTTCAGTAGACGTGGACGAACGGGACAGCAATATAAATGGCCTCTTAGTGTTAAATAGAGAGAGAAGTCCTATCCTCCATACTATAAAGCATATTTACCTATGAAATATGAAAGATCATGAGCTAGCCATGGCCTGATCCAATCTAGAAAATCTTTTGCTTCTGTGGATAAATATTTTCCCGTATATTTATAGATGATATGGAGTTAAGTTAAATTTTTGTGAGAGGCTATCGTATGACCCTTATAGAGATAACTTAGTCTTTGAAGTTTGAGAATACTTCAAAGCTGGGCTAACAAGAATGTCACAAACGCCAAGTCCAGAAATCGTGGACGAAGAGGAAAATATATAATAATCTAATTTGGAAATAGAAGTAAGTGTTATGAACTGCTTGGTTGAATACATCTATAAGGCACAGTAGAACCTATTTACATATCTAATACATAAAAGATCAGTAAGCGACGGATTCTCGAGAGCCAAGACATTTCTTCCTCGGCCTCTTACCCTTGTCCGTGTATCATAAATATTTATAGGTTAAAGCTGTATCTTCATTGATTATAACGACAATGGATTAGGCTTGTTGTGGTCAGCTCATGTCTCTTATCTTTTACATATCGAAACCACTGTACCAAGTCTACAAAAAGACTATTTGTTTTTCTACCAAACATTCACCGCAACTTGATTTGCCTTGAAACATGATTAATGGCTGTGTATAGTTTTTCTAATAAAGCTCGAACAGAAGGTTTACCAGTAGTATAATAAAAAGTATCCGAGGCGGAAAGAAAAGTCTGTTAAAGAACACTTGAAGCATAAATATCAAGAAGTTTGTGTAATATCAATGCAGTAGTTCAGACAATTTAGACCTTGTGGGAAAGCACAGTAGTGAATAAGTCGGACTAAATTATAAATTTCATAAGAATTAAAGTGCCATAAGCACCCCCTGAGCATCCCCTGAGCATCCCCTGAGCACCCCCTGAGCGACCCCTGAGCACCCCCTGAGCACCCCCTGAGCGACCCCTAAGCATCCTATAAGCATCCTCTTAGTACCCTCTAAGCACCCTCCAACCCCTAGACTAATGGCGCTTACTCTAAGAAAAATTCTATTAATTTAAATTTTGAAGTGTAGCCTCAGTTATAATCTAATTCACGGGAAATAGTATATACTTTATAGAAGTTAGTCTTTGTCTTAATCTGCCTCGGTACTCATAAAGTCTATAGGTATAGTATAGTACTTATTGAATCTAGTACTGCTCTTAGGTAAAATTAGAGGTAGGTTAATCCTATTTGTTTTATTGTTCTCTTACAACATTATACAAAAAAATTAGAATGTATATATAAATATAAGAAGGAGAGGATGTAGATTATTAGAAGAGAAAACCCTGTATAGCTCCCTAGTACGGACAATAAAAATTAGTAAATTTAAAAAAGAAACATTCTTCTTAAGCCTTTTCCCTTTCCTCTTAAGATAATATAAAAAAACTTTTGAAACAGGTGATAAGGTGTCTTATGTCTATTGAATAATTTATATTGGATATATAGGCTTATAAGGATAATAATCCTAGGTGAAGTTTCTAGTGTCGAAAATCTGTGGAGAAAAGTTTGACTGATTGAATTCTGCTGCAAGTTGCTCGAGAGTAGAGCCTTGTATAACCGTTCCGTAGGTATTTTGTGTATGATTTATAAGCGAAAATTTATGTCCTAGTGACTCATTCTTATAGATATTATAAGTTATGTCTTTAATCGGCTAAGGGGGGTTTATATATCTTTGTATAAAATGTCTTGTAAGTAAGCTAGGAGTCGTATGGTTTTGCAGCCGGACTTTCGGTGGTAGAAGAGGATTACCGATATAAAGAAAGCAGATTGTAGGTTGGTCTTTGGGGTGTTTGATTTGTATAGAATCAATAGCTTGGCGGAGACTAACCTCAATCTTATCTTTCTCTAAATACCTTTATTGTTTTACTGTGGGGGGACAGAGGTCGTTATTCGATGTGGATCGATGAAGAGATTAGATAGGGCAAGGAGTAGGACGGCCCTCCTCTACGCCATAAAAAGCAGTTATAGTGTTTATTGTATTGATTCGGTATTGATATTCGGCCTCAATAGTCATACTAGGCATAGTTATAATAGTCTTGATAACTATTATGAATTCCGGAGATATAAACTTCATGTTCTTAATCGCCCTGATAACCTTTGAATCGATAAGCTTGCCCTGGAGTTGTCGCTTAAGGTTAATTACTGGCTGCTTACTCTTATAGTGTTCTAAATTCTTACGGTTTCGCTGGTTTCTCTGGTGTTGCTTTTTATTGTGAAGCTTCTATTAAGCTCTGTTTGCCTTTAACTTTGCCGCTAGTGCTTGGTCTTGAAGTTTTATGAGTTCTTGTAGTAGAGTGCGCTAAGTCTTGGGAAGTAGCTCTTCCTTTAAATCGCTATAAGCGGTTTTATATATATGATCAGCGCTATTGTATTTAGCATGTCGATCTTCCTATTTTTTCTTGCTTTCATAAGCCATCTCCTACTTTGTACGGATAATAGGAAGCTTATTGAGGGATTGTGACTCTTTAGTTAAGAGTCTATAGGGTCGATTGGGATTGATCGATGTACTTAATGAATAAGCAAATCGTATTAACGTGGTTTGTGACCCTATTTGCTGTATAATACCTTGGATATCAATATTAATATCTACCTTGTAATATCGAATGAAAGTGTGAATATCAGTGTGTTGTAATATCACGTTCTGAAGGGTATTAGTTACTTCTTCTGTAGGGTATATTAGTCATGGACTAGATGGTAGGCTTTAAAATTATGTACTACTTTTATTAAAAGCTTTTGCTCCCGCATATCGGAGATAGTATGGTTTTATAATGTCTTCTATGCCTAATATTTGGCCTACCCGTCGTATACGGAAACGTAGAAAGGATACTGTTATTGTGTTCTCTAAGGCGATACGGAAGCCTGTAGTATGCTGAGTTATCTGGTAGAATATAAACTTGTCTAGAAGTTCTTCTTTGATAAGTAATTGCTGCTGGCCTAAACCATCTAATATCTGAAGATGGTAAAGATTTTTAGGGTAGTCTATTACCGGTCCGGTTGTTGATCTTATCTTAAAGTCTTAGATATAGAAAAGTATGCTGAGTATATATATATGTGGGCTGAGTATAAGAGTTGGATTAAAAATGATTTCTGGAATTTTGAACTGATTGCTAAATTTCCAGATTAGCTAATATTCTCTACAAATTTTTCTAAATTATGTACTTACGGCGCTTTTTTCCCAAGAAATTTCTTTGTAAATTCAGGGGTTAGGTACATGAAAAGACGTGGGCGGCTGTCTTCTAGATTGTGAATTAACGTCAGAACGAGGTTGTAATAGCGGAGGCTAAGGAGAGCGCTTGGGCGGCTTGTAGTGATAGCTGTAAGTTGAATATAAAGAAGTATCTGAATCTGCTGCTAACTATATGTAAAAGTGGTCTTGGTGGTTGTCAAAAGTATATGGGCGAATTCGGCAATGTCTTCAATAAATATGTTCTTCTTGGGTCGTTGTGTTAGCTCAAGGCCTTTTTTCTCGGCTATAATAGTAATTATCTAATCATAGTCAACTAAATTTACTCCTTATATAAGGCTTGTTTACTTAAGTACTTATGTCTTGGATCTTGATAATCGTTTCTTTGATGAGACCTGACTCCCTTCGTTACTTGAGAGTAAGATACCACTATTTCCAGAAAGTCTCTAGAGAGCTCTTATATCGAATTCCCGGATAGTGACGTCTATTTTTCTTGTGCTGAATGTTATATCGCCAACCAAAAAAGCTATATAAGAACTGGATTGTTTTATTAGAGTTAGATACTAATTCCTACTATCTTATAGGATCGATGCTGATGTGCTTGTAATATCTGTATAACAACTCTTAGTAAGTTGCTATATTACTGGGATTGAAACCTTATATACCTATCCCAGTGCTTAACGGTCTCGTCGACTTTCTCCTGGGTTTTATTGCTGTATTGCTCCTATTGAAGCCGAGATACATTCAGTATTTCCGCTTCGGCTAAATAGTGTCCAGGAGGGAGCTGGCCCTTATCGAAGTTGAAATAATTGAATATGGTATTGTCGTCAGAGTCTTTATCTATATTAAGTTCACTATCTGACGTAGTTTCGGACTTGCGATCGGAAAAAACTGTGCTCGGATTGGAGCTGGTGTCGCTCAGGTAATCATCGTCGCTCTTAGTAGATCCTATCGATCGGAAATAAGATATAGTGATTCAAAAAGGTAAAGCTGTGGGAGATCTTAATGGTAGAGGTTGAGAAAGGAATAAAAACGGGCACAAGTTGTTGCATACGATTTCGGGGAAGAGGAAGAAGAAACGAATTCTGGGGGGTCGAAGTTTGAAATGGATAGGATTTTCGGGCTTTTTAAATCGAATGGTATCAAATAATCGGGTAGAACTTCAAAGAATATGGTGGTGCTGGAGGAAGCTATTTCTGGCTTTATTGTGCCCCGTGAATCGAAAGGGATATAAACAAAAACAGTGTGCGTGGAGGTAATATTCTGGGCCGTGGAACGGGATCATGTTGTGCTAAGACCGACGCCGGTTAGCAGGACTCTTAAAACGGCGCCAAATGTAGCCACTTCTGGCCGTCCGCTAACCGTCACATCGTTAAATAGAGTAACTTTAGGTTATCTACTCTTATTTCTAAGAATCTTAATCTATTTATAAGATTTTAAAGTATATAGTTAGATAACTCTACTAAAGTATATATTCTAAGGATATAGACTACTAGAATATAATATAGTCTAAACTAATTACTTTTAAATTTCTTCCTACTTTTGTTATATATTAATATCTAGTTATCCTTCTAGAAGCTAGTTTTTATAACTTTACTATTATAAATATAACCCTTCTTAATTATATAATTTAATAATAATTTATTTATCTTTATTTATATATTATTTAAGTTCTATAATATATCTAATCTTTCTATAAAAGGTTATATTACTATTATATTATTATTATTACTAGGTATTTATAGTTACTTACTATATACTAAATAAAATAGGCTAAACCTTATTATATTATATTTATATATATATATAATAAAAATAGTCTATATTAAGTAAAGATCCTATAACTTCGTTAGTTTGTTTATTAAATATTTTATTAGTATTTAGCCTAATAATCTATTAAAGTTTTCTATCTTCTTATTTATATATAGGTAGTATAGAGTAGTTATTTAATATTAGGTACTAAGAAGCTAGATATAGTATCTTACTACCCTGGCTAATAGATTCTAGCTATTATTAATAATTATTTCTCTTAGTATACTATAATTTATAAAGATCTAATTATATATAAATTAACCTAAAGCTTCTTCTATAGCTTCTAGAATAGCTTATATAATAACTTAGCCAGTAGTATAATTAATTATAGTAATAATCTAGCGATTACTATTAGATATATAAAGAAGATATCTAATTAGGTTAATACTCTACTATTTAAATAGATAGATACTATTCTCTACTATATATTAAGCTACCTTTTATTCTAATCCTTTTTAAAGATTCCGACTGATTTAGTATTTAGAGTATGATCTTATAATATCTTCTATATCTCTTTTTATATTAAGCTACTATACTTATAGATAAATAACTTTATTTAGACCTAGGTGTTCTAAATAACTAAACTCCTTATAGAGATATAATAATAGTTCTCTATAAAAGAGAGATTCTAAATAAGATATATAAACCTTATCTTTATAGACAAAGATTAACTAACAATAAGTTATACTTATAGATTTTATTAGTAACTTTATATTATAGTATAATAAGTTTAGAGCAAACTTTTCCACAACTCTTATAAGCTTCTTATTAATAGAGAGTATTCCTAAATCTAAATACTTTTCTATAACTACTAACTAATCTTTTTCTAGGACTTTTATAACTATCTGTTCTACTATAGTCGAAATTACAGTAAGAGTAGTATCCTAAATCAGAGGGAATAATATATTTATAGAGTCTTTACTAATAAAATCCAGCCTCCTACTAATAATATTAGGGATAATTATCTCTTTACCTTTCTAATACTAAATCTTTAGATTATACTCTTAATACTCTATAACCTAGTAAGTAAGCTGCTTATTATAGATTAATAATATTTATAAATACTATAAACCCTAGTAATTAGTTATAATAGTTATTTTTATATTGTTTTCTAGATAATAATCCTATAGATATAAAGCTTCTTTAATAGCTAATAACTCCTTTTTATATATAGGATAATTTAATTCTACACTAGAAAGCTTATAACTATTAAAGGTTATAGAATAGAGTTTTCTATTCTTATCTATTTAGTTTAGGACTATCCTAATAGCCTATTTAGATATATTAGTCTTAATTATAAATAGTTTTATTAGATTAGGTTAGATTAATATAGAAGTAGTAGTAATAAAGTATTTTAGTTATTTAAAAGCCCTTTTATATACTACTAACCACAAAATTAGACAAAGCTTATCTTTTTAGAGCTACTTATCAGGCTCTTTTAATAATTTATATAAAAGTATATAGATTCTAGTAAAATCCTTAATAAACTATTAGTAATATATTATAAGTCCTAAGAATTACTAGACTTTATATATATTTATAGGCCTTAGCTATAATATAATTATATTAATCTTTACTAATATTACTAAGACTTATCCTTCTTCTATATAAAACCTATAGAACTTAATATATTCAGTAGTAATCTTATATTTTCTTAGTATAGTATATAACTAATATTCCCTTAGTATAGCCAATACTTTTTTAAGATACTTATAGTATTCTTCTATAGTTTTCAAGAAAATAAGAATATTATCTAAGTAAACTACAATAAATCAACTAAGAAAAGATCTTAATATATTATTTATAATAGACTAGAAAGTAATAGGTATATTATATAGTCTAAATAGTATTATAATCTACTTATATTTTCCCTATATTATATTAAAAGTAGTCTTTTCAATCAACTATACTCTTATTTAAACCTACTAGTACCTAGATATTAAATCTATCTTAAATATAATCTTAGTAGTATCTATATAATTAAGTAGATCTTAAATTTACAATAGTAGATAACTATTTTTTAATATTAGTCTATTTAATATATAATAATCTATATATATCCTCTAGCTACTATTCAGTTTTATAATAAATATTATAGGGAATCCCTAAGTACTTATAGATAGTTAAATCAGACCCTTTTCTAATAGTTCAGATACTTATTTTACTTATTCTTATAGCTTTTATTTAGATAATATATATAAATTAATATTAATAGATATAGTATCTCTAATATATATATTATATAAGATAACCTATTCTAGCAGTAACTCTTATAATAATATTACCCTAAAGATATCTTTATATCCTATTAGGATAGTATAAATCTTTAGGTCCCTATATATAGAAATCCTAGATAACTTAGGTACTTTAAACTCTTTTATTACCTCTAGATATATAATATATAATACTCCTTATATAGACTTATACTTTAGTTCTTTTTATACTTATTTAGCTAATATCAAATTTAGCTATAGGTTATTATTATTTAAGATATATCTATATTAATTATTAGCTTATATAATATATATCTAGCTATAATTATAAATCTTTATAATAGATATTTTCTAATAGATCTTAGGGTTCTAATACTTTAGGAAATCCTACTTAAGGATAAGTTTATATTCTAGTAAATTAAATATCTATATTAAAATAGTTATATACTAGCTTCTAAGAGCTATTAGGAGTTAAATCTTTAATCTTATAATAAGCCTCTCTCTATTAGATATTTAAATATATATATCTAAGCTTATTTTATAACAATTAGGATATAAATAATTTTTCTTAAGGAAGTTAATAGAAATAAAGATATAGGAAGTACTATAATTAAGTAAGGTATAAATAGCTATATTTCTATTTTAGCTATATACTAAAACTTTATAGTATAATAAGAAATCTCCTATAGTATAGAGATCTATCTTAATATTAGTAAGTTTAGCTTTCTTTTTATACTTTTCTATATTCTCTAGCTTCTATAAAATAACTAGGATAGTAAGAACTACTAACGCTAGATCTAATAGATCTAGATCTATATATACTAGTAATTTCGAAGCCTTTTTTATATAGCTAATAAAAGCTTTAGTTATTTTAGCTATCCTTAGTTTTTTAATTTCTTAGTATATCTAGAATCTCTATTCTAACTTTTCTTAGGCGATTGGTAATTCTATTTAATATATCCTTTCTTATTATAATTAAAATATATCTAAGTTTCTTTCTATTAGTTATCCTTTAATTTATTTATAGATTTAAGAATATCTAAGTCTATTATATTAGGATTATACTAGTTGCTATATAGATTACTACTTCTATTCTTCTTTTCTAGATAGCTAGTGATTATAGCTTCTTATTTAAACTATATAAAATACTTAATTATCTTTATAAGTCTTATTAAGTGATTTTAGTCCTCTGTCTAATACTTCTATAACTATATTTTTATATCCTTCTATAGGAATTAAATAAGAATAGTCTCTAATATCTTAATTTTATATTTAATTATAGTCTCTTAGAGATCTATTATATATTTAATAAAGATATAATCTTCTTAATAACACTTCTAGAAGTAGTCTGTTACGGGATTCCTGAATCCCTTCAGGTACGATTCAAGTACGATTTATGACTGCTCTACGGGCGAATCTACCACGATATACCCGCTAATGTATAACTGCCCTAAGCCCTATTAAGCTCTAGTAATATTAAAACACACGAACAATAGCTACGATTCTTATCCTGTAAGAATTAGTTCTATATATTAACTATTCTATTTGATCTCTACTATCTAATATTCTTACCTAGTTATAGGTCTCTAGTCTAATAACTTAGTAATTATTATAATTCTGATTCTTCTCTTTTAACTACCTAAGGATTGATAATAGTACTCTCTATACGCTGAAACCCTATATCCTCTTACAATAGCATTTGATCTGAGCCTGCTACGCCTTTTTTTTTTATTATTAGATAACCTAAGATTGAATTAGTCCTAGATTAGTATACAAACCTAGCTAAATCTGGTCTAGACTAGATTAGAGAAATTATTAGTGATCTTATAACTAAAAGTATTAGTAGACCTAGAAGTGTTACTACAAATACCCTAGAAAAGAAGAGATATAAACTAGAATATCTAGAAGAGTTCCTTACGAT